CTTCCCCTTCCCCTTCCCCTTCCCCTTCCCCTCATTAATTAAGCTTTTCACATCTTTTAATTAGACATGGATTTTAATATCTCCTGTGAGACTGATGGATACTTGACTAAAATGACTTGCAGGTGGTCTGCAAACCCAACCACCTCTCTCCTGGGGAGTCTGCAGTTAAGATATTACAGGTATGGATGGATTTTAATTCTCTTTTTATGTTTGGAAAGTGTTGCTCAAGATACCATTGTGTGAAAGAATTCTGGAGAAATGTAATTACAGAATGAACAGGTTCTTTATTCTGTGTGCAGAAGGGAACCAGAGATACCTGAGTATGTAACTGATCTTATTTAAAAAGTTTTGGCAGCATTTTTCAACCTGTTTGGGAGTCAGTTTTCTTCAAGAAGATTTCTTGGATCAGTAAAAAAATTACTCCAGTTGCTCCTGTCTACAAGCTGTAAGGAAATATGGGAAAAGCCCATTCCCAGTGGGAATGTCTGTCCTGGGGGAGCTGAAGAGTCCGTGTTCTTGTAGACTTTCAGATCCTGACAGCTCCATCTGATTTGGATTTCACTGCTCTGAGGCTGAGATTGGACTTGAGACCTCCTGAAGCTTCCACTCAGTCTTTGACTTCTCTGTAATTCTATTATTATAATTCTATAGAATTCTATAAATAGAATATATAAATATATTTATATAATAAATTCTATGAATAGAATTCTATAATTCTGTATCTTTTTTTTCTCTGTGAATACACAGGTAAAAATAGAGAATGAAACAAATTCAAAATAGGAAAAAATCTCTCTTAAGAGAACCAAACCTTAGCTCGTGAAGGGAATATTGGCTTTGTGAAGGCAGCAGCTGGGACTGCAGCAATTCCCAGAATCCCAGCCTGGTTTGGGTTGGGAGGGACCTCAGAGCTCATCCCATTCCATCCCATGTGTTGAGCTTGATGGTTTCCTAGAACCACTAGACAGACAGACAGACAGACAGACAACTCTTCCTGAGGCAAAAAATCCATCATTTTCCTGCTCTGCTGGGCTGGAGATGCAGAAATTTTGGCGAGCAGCTTCCATCAGCTCTGAGCCTCTAATCCTTTGGAAAGGCAGCCCGTCTCCTCTGGTGGAGTTGTGGATGATCCTGGTGCCCAGGTGAATATTTCCCAGGTTTTTGTGGAATAACTGGAATGCTTGAAAGTTCAAGTGGAGGCTTTGGGGCAGGATTAATTCCTGGCTGAGTGCTGAGGTAGCTTTTGTTTCATCTGCCTTCAGAAATGTGAATTTAAGAGTGCACTGCTGGGCAGGGAGCTGGGAATAAACCCCATGCTGCTCACCATGGCTTTTATTCCCATTTTCTCACTGCTCAGGTTTAGCTAAAAATGTAATTTTCTAGTAGGAGGTGATAATGTGGAGATTTGTTCTTGTTCCTGCTAGATCAAACAGTGACATTACCACTGCCTGCAAATCCTTCCCAGATGCTGCTGATCCTTCTTTTTGTTCTGATTTTTGTGGTTATTTGTTCAGAGTAAGACCTGAAAGACAAAAATGCAATAAAATTCCCGCTGCTGTTCCCATCGGCACTGCTGTGCTGATGCTCTGGCGTGGGGTTTTTGTTTTGCTTGGTTGTTTCTACATCTTCCTCTCCTGGCAGTGCTGAAACAGCTCCAAAGGGATCATCCTGTGGGAGCAGGGAATGTTCCAATCCCAACCTCCAAAGCACCAGGCACTGCTTTAATCCTGGGCACAGGAGGAGGAAACTTCAGCTGAGTGTAACTCTTCAGCTGAGTAACTCACACCCTCTCTGGCCCCCCTCCTCACAGGTCTCAGGAGAAAGCTGAAAAATTCCCACTCCAAGAGTTTATCCAGCTCCACTTCATCCACAATCCAGGGTTCCTCTCTTCTGCTGCCAGGTGTGGTAACTGGACATGGGATTTTTAACCCAGACTTGATGTTTTAATGGGATTTCCATCTCCTCACTGGGTCTCTGTGGCAGCTTCCCCCTGGTTCCCAGTGGGGATTTTGGAAGTCATTCCCAACTGGAGTCAATTCTTGGCAGATTTGCCTTGCTGTGTTAATTGCCAATCCCTAAAATCCCACACCTGATGAAGATTTGGAGCTGCCTTCTCTTGCCATACCTGTTGCTTTTTGTCATTTGCGCTGCTTGTTCCAGAGCCAAAGCTTTGAGGAGTGACACTAAAATGTTTTTTATCCATTCAGTGCAGATTCAGGTTCAAGATCCAAACAATCCTCAAAATCCCAGGACATTTCCAGTGCCACCATTCCTTTTAATTCCCTCCAGATTTACACTTGCAATGTATCAACGTGGGGTTTTTTTGTTTTTAATCTCTTTTAAGGAGCCAAATTTATTGCTCTGACTTTCCAAGCCCATCTCCAAACTCAGAGGTGAAAGAATGCCATTTGCAGAGGAATCATTCCTACGAGTGCACATTCCAGCCCATTTTCCTTTTATCTGGATATACCCTGTGGATAGAGTTTAAACATTTCCTGGGAACGCTGGAATCCTCCCCGACCTGTGTCATTCCAGCAGATGTGGGTAGGTTGAGATCCATGAATCTCTCTTCCCTTGAGCCCCTGGATTTTAAATGGTGTAGAAAGAATTTTTCCACATGTTTTAAATAAAACCAGGTGAGTTTTGGTATTACCTTAAAAAAAATAAATATTGGATTGAATGTTACTTCTGTACAGGAGCAGATTTTAAATGAAACATCCACTTCTGCCTGGTATTCCCTCGACAGAAAATGCAAGTGTTGTATTGCAAAATGGAGCTCTTTTTTAAGGTTTTGGTTATTTAATTGGTCAGACTGATTTGGCTTCAATTAATGAAGTTTATACTCTGGTACAGTGTATTGTTTACACTGTTATAAATCCATTTAAAATCATGAGGATTGTCCCTGCTCTTCCATGCTGCTTTTGTGACACACAGAGCACTTAAATTTGGATAAAAACAAGAGCAGGAGCAGTGTTTGAGTGTTTTAAAAACTCCAAAATGTGCAAATCACCTCTTTTTATCTGCTCTGTGGCAGAGAATTCACTGGGTGTGTTTTTGGACACAAATGTGAACATGGAAACAAGGCAGCTGGACCTTGAAATAAAATGCTACATGAAATAAATCCGAGTGCTACATGAAATAAATTTGAGTTATATAATTATGAAAGAAATCCAAGTTATATAATTATGAAATAACTTTGAGTTATATAATTTAAAAATACATTTATTATGTGGTGGCAATGGATGGAATGATTTATCCTGGATGCAGGGTTCTCTGCATTGTGGTAAAGCAAAACAAACCCATTCAGCACCATCCAAAATGAAAAAAATATTAATTTCTTCTTGTTGTTTTCTCCTCATTCACATTTGATTATCCAAAATAAATTTATTTCAATTTGGCTTGATTAACAAACAAGGGTTTTTGGGAGATTCCTGTTCTGGAGAAGCTGGATTAATTTCCAATTAATACAATAAAAACGTTTCCATTAATCACTGCACAGTGTCTGTCCCCAGCCCTTACAGGAGCTGCTGCTTTCCCACAAAATTTATGGAATCATGGAATTGCTGAGGTTGGAAAAGCCCCTGGAGATGGTGGAGTCCAAGGTGCCCAGGCCACCCCAAGTGCCACATCCCAGGGCTTTTAAACCCCTGCAGGAATGCGGACCCAGCACTGTCCTGGGCAGCTGTTCCAAGGCCTGACCACCCTTTCCATGGAGAAATTTTCCTAAATATCCAATCTAAACCTCAAAATTTCTTGCCAGGCTCTGTTTTCTGCTCTTTATCCCAGGGCAGGTAGCAAGTGCCAGCACCAAAAGAACCTGTTGTGCTTTAAATGGAAATAAAATACATGGAAACATTCCCGTGGGGTCTGTGTTTCCAGTCCTGCTTTCCTGGGAATAGCAGAGGCCGTGTGTGACCCACCACCCTCAGGACAAGGAAAAGCCATCCATGATTTGATTTAATGGGAAGGCTGTTTTAAATTCATGTTTTAAATTTTCCATTTCCCAGTGAAGCCTCTCCCCCCTTCCAACGTGGGAGCAGAACTCACCAGGAATGTGGGGCTGCTGAACGTCAGCTGGACCAAGCCTCTCTTTGCCAACAGGGATCTGACGTTCCAGATCCGCTGGAATTCAGGGAACAGGGAGGAGATTCCGTGGCAGGTACTGTCTGTTCCATCTGGGTTGGAGCAGGGGTCATTGCACTGCTGCCCTGTGGTGTGGGGCTGGTTTTTATGGGGTTTATCCATGGAGGAAATCACAGTGTCCACAAAGGACATTTGTGGTGTCCACAGAGGAATATTCCTCACAATCCCACTTCCTCACTGGATTAATCTGCAGGAATTTTGTCTCTAAGAGCTGCCTAACCATCCCTTTGTTCTCACTCGGAGTTTTTCCCCTTCTTTCCCAGCTCTGTGAAGTCCCAAACCCCGCAGGCAGCTGGGCTGTGATAAAAGTGGAGCAGCTTTGTGTGGAATACACGGTCCAGGTGCGGTGCAGGGAATTGGATGGATCTGGATTCTGGAGTGACTGGAGCAGAGCAGCCCAAACCCTGGTTCAGGACATCAGAGGTCTGTGCTTCCAGGGACATCCTGAGGGCTGGGATTTGCCAGACTCAGGTGTGACTGTCCTTCCCAAATTGTTGTTTTGCAGCTCCCTTGCAAGGCCCGGAATTTTGGAGGATCATTTCTGAGGATCCAGCAAGGAAGCAGAGGAATGTTACGCTCCTGTGGAAGGTGGGAGCAGCTGCATTTGGGCTTTCCCTTTGATCCTAAAACCAGGTGGGATTGCCAGAAGGGGAGGCTGTCAGGCACGTGAGACTTTTGGGAATTGGGATTTGCCTTTTTCTGTGCTCCTGACAATTGCATGTCTCATCCTAGAGGCAAGCGGTGAATCCTGGTGGGAATTCTGGGATGAAATGGGAGATGGTTTTTCCTTCTTTGCCTTAAAATGTTAATGCAGGACAGGAAAAATTTCCTCAGTGCCCACTCCTGTTTGCTCATGGGCTGCTCTGAGGTTTGAACCCTGCAAAATGTATAAAACAGGGAATTGCTGTGGGAATCTGAAAGTTTAGCTTTCCTTGTCATTCACTTCCTTTTGATGGGAAGAGAGGGAATAAGAGTCAGCTCTCAGAGAGGGAAATGAAGCCTTTGAAAGGACTCCAGTCCTTGGCTGAAAAGACAGAAGCCAGAATATCTTTAGTGGGTCCTGTTTCCTTAAAATTGGAGCTTCCCTTAAAAAGGATTCCCTTTGCTCTGGAAATCAGGGAGTGGGGAAGGAATTCAGGAATTAATGCCTGTTAATTAATTGCTGCAGCCCCTGATGGAGAATCACTCCTTGTGCAGCGTGAGCAGATACATCATAAAGCACCAGACCCCAGGGAACACCTGGGAAGAATTTGTGGATCATGGCACCAGCTGGACTTTTCCATGGGTTGGGCCAACCCACACCATCACCATTTTAGCCATGAATTCAGTTGGAATTTCTGCAGTTAATTAATTTTTATTAATTTATTAGAATTTGTTTATTAGAATAAGGAAGTTTTATGGGGATACATTCAGCATCAACAGTTGGAAAACTGAGATTTCCATCATGAAAATCCTAATGATTCTGGGGTTGGGAAAAAAACTTCCCTGGCTGTCTTCTCTCTACTAATAAAATTAGTTTAAAAGTAATTAATTTAAAAGAAGTTAATAAAAATAAAATCCTGCTGGAGAACCAGTCTTTCATCTCCTTTGATTTGGGAACACCCAACATTCCTGCTGGGGAATGTTTTGTTGTTTCCAGAATGAAATGGGGTCATGTTTTGGGCTGCCAGGGTACAGAGTCCTCCGACTTTCTGAGCACAAATTCCTGGATTTGGCTGCACTCTGCTTAATTAGTCTCAAGAATTCAGGAGTTTTTAACTGTTTGGTTAAGGAAAATTAAGGAATTGCAGGTGGGAATTAGGATATTTGACGTCTGTAAGAAACTTGATCTGTTTAGTGCTTGGGACTGGTTCAGTGTAACCCAAATTTTGGTGGATTGAAATAAAAAAAAAAAAATCTCTCTGCTGATGTGGCTTTATTTTACAAAAGATAATCAGAGTGATGAAGTGGTGAAACTTCAGCAGTTTATAGGATGTTTTCCTGTTTTCCCAGTGGATGCTGTGCAGTCCCTGAGTGCTTACCTGGTGAACAGCACCTGTGTGGTTGTGGTTTGGAGCCTCTCCCCCCACATCCCTGGGATAAAATCCTTTGTGATTGAGTGGAAGAACCTGAACAAAGGGGAGCAGCTGAAATGGCTGCGAGTCCCTCCACATCTCAGGAAGTATTTTATTTATGGTGAGTGTGTGCTTGAAAATACAATTCATGCTGTTAATTGATGTGGAACAGAAAAATGTTGAAAAGCTCTGAGCCCTTTTTCCCCTTCCCTGTTTCTAATCACTTTTATTGACCAATAAACCAAATTTTGATGCTCATTACAGGATTGCCTCTTGCATTAATAATCAGTTTAAGCTCTGGAGCGAGTTCATTTTGTGGCAATACAATAAAATTAGTTCTGGAATATTGAACACACCAGCTAATTATTCAAATTAATATCTGCATTTCCTATGTATTTTGACTTTACTCCTAGAAATGATCACAGTAGCTCCATAAGGTGTTCATTGTGTGACAGAATAATGCTGGATTAATAGCTGGAACCTTGGGGTTTTGAAGTAGGGATCTATAAAAGATGGATCCATCATTGCCCTCTCTGGGCTGACCTGAGCTCTGATCTGTGCCCAGAGCCTCTGAGGAGGGAATTGTTTAAAAAGTGGATAACAGTGGATCCCAAAGGCTGATTTCCCCTTTCCAGATCACTTTATCCTGATTGAGAAGTACCAGTTCAGCCTCTACCCTGTGTTTGCTGGAGGAGTTGGCAAAGCCAGAGCCACGGATCAGTTTGCCAAAGGTGACTGACAGGATCTTTTCCCTGTTTTTTATGAAGTAAAAGTGACCTTTAAGTGCAAAACCTATCTTATCTGAAAAAGAAAAGTAGCAATAAAGCCTCTGTAATGTACTTACAAACAGTGAACAGACTTCAGCTTTAATTTGAAAACTCTCTGTGGGCTGAGCTGAGTGAGGGATTAAATTCCTATTTAAAATAATTCCTTTTTGTCTGTTTATTCCCAAGGGAAAGGTTTGTCCATGTGCAATAAAACCATTGCTCGAGGTTATTTCCCCATCTAAGGTGTTGTTTCTACCATTTGTTATTTCCCTGCTGCCAACTATTTGCTCCCAGACCAATAATTTTTCTGCATTAATAGGTGAACTCCTTTATTTCCAGGGGGATTTGAAGCTGGGAATAGTGGCAGCCTCCACGTGCTCCTGCCAATTGTTTTTTCCACCTCGGTTTTGCTGCTGGGAGCGTTGCTGCTTTCACACCCAAGGTACCTCGTTCCTCCTTATCCAAAAGTGGTGCAGCTGCACTGGTGTCACAGGATCCCAAACTGGTTTGGGTTGGGAGGGACCTTCAGTCCCATCCAGGGACAGCTCCCACTGTCCCAGGCTGCTCCAAACCCATCCAGCCTGGCCTTGGGCACTGCCAGGGATCCAGGGACAGCCCCAGCTACTCTGGGAATTCCATCCCAAGGCTTCCCCACCCTCCCAGCCAGGAATTCCTTCCCAAGATCCATCTAAATCCCCCCTTTTCCAGCTTAAAGCCATTCCCTGTGTCCTGTCCCTGCAGGCCTTATCCCAAATCCCTCTCCAGCTCTCCTGGAGCCCCTTCAGGCCCTGTGGGTTGTGCTCATTCAGCACAGCCTGTACCCCAAACTGCCACCTGGAATGTCCCTTCTTTATGTTTTGGATTAAATTTGGGCCATTTATCGTCTCTGCAGTGATTATTTCATGGCCATAGTGTTGTGGGTAAATAAAATGGCAGAGATTCCTTCCCTGCCCCTGTGGGAACAGCACCAACTCCAGCATTTCCCTGACATTTCAGGATGAAGAAGCTGCTCTGGGAGGACGTTCCCAACCCCAAGAACTGCTCATGGGCACAGGGCATTAATTTCCAGCAGGTTTGTACTTCCCTGGGGCTGCTGCTTCCTGCACCCAGGGCTGTTACTCCAGCTCTGTCTCCAGTGGGAATCCAGCCCCATTCACCCCTCTGGCTCCATCCAGAGGTTCCCATTTCCCAGGCCTCTGGATTATGCATTGGATGTGAGAAATATCTGCCAGTTTTCCATAGGTGACAGATGGTGGCCTTTGCCAAAACACCCCTGGCCTTGGCTGGGAGGGGTTTAATCTGTGTTTGCTGTGGTGTCCATGGAGAGGAGAAGGGATACAAACATCTCCATTAGGGATAAACCACATGCATGAGGAGAAAAAAAATGTTATTTTCATTGTTTAAAAGCTCCCTGTTCATTTTGATGTGGGAAGATGATGGGTTTGTGTGGGAAAAATCCCAAATTCGGGGCCCAGGTGTCACCAACAGCGAGTCTGGATTGAGTAGAGCCCGAGACTTTTATTCTTTGCTCTGATTTCCCACTACTCTGAGTATTTTGACATTTTCCTCGTTAGTTTGGCAGCTTCCCTGCTGTAAAACATGGTTTATTAATCCACAAAAAAACTGGGTTTATCTGTTCTGTCCTGAATTCATTAGGAAATACAAGGGAATTTTCCTTTGGAGCTCTTGTGCTGCTGTCAGTTCATCCTGGTGGATAATTTACATATTTTGTTATAATTTACACATGCATTTATTAGGGAGCAGTAAATCCTACATTTACCCCAAATACAGTTCAAACATGCAGCTGCTGCTCATGTAGGAATGCTCCAAAAATTCCATGGAAAAGCTGAATTTGACCAGGATAATCCAATCCTAGCAGGGAAAGTTCCTTCAGCTTCTGTATCAATGATTAAATCTGTCAGGGAAATTTTGTCACAGAGGATTTTCAACAACAAATTCTTAAAAAACCACGTGTGAACTCCATGTGGCAAAATTCCAGGCTCCTGGGAATGACCTTTGGTGTGGGATGCTGCGATCCATAAAACCTGGAGAGTGAAATAAAGCTGTTCCATGAGAAATGAGCATTAAAATCCCTCTTTTCTTCCAGCCTGAAACTCTGGAGCATCTCTTTGCCAAGCACCCCGAGCCAGTGTCGTGTGAGCCGCTTCTCCTGGAGGCACAGGTGGTGCTGGAAGACATCAGCGTCACCAAAGCCTTGGAAAAAGAAGAGCCAGGGGATTTTTTGGGAGTTGATTCCACCTTCCCAACCCGCCAGGAGTCGGAATGTGACTCTGCATGCCACTTGCAGAGCAGCAGCTCCTCCAGGAGCTCCCAGGATGGAGAAAGCACGGCTCAGTGCGACCTCAAATACGCCACCCTCCTCAGCAATTCCCGATCCAGCGGGCTTTGCCGACGGAAAACAAATCCAAGGAGCTGCTTGGATAGGTGCTCCCTAGGGGAAGATTCCATAGTTTTAGGTGCCTTCTCCAGTGGTGCTTGGGAAGCTGGGAATGGGGCATTCCTGGTGTTCCCTGGCTCCCAGCCCAGCAGGGCTCTGCCCCCGATTTCCTCAGAGGGATTCTCGGAGCCCTCGGACGAAGCTTTCCCAGCCGGCGGCGAGCGGAGCCTGTGTTACCTCGGGATAACATCCCTGGAAAAAGGACAGAGGGATGTTTTCCAGACAGAAAGCTCTGGGGGGATGTGTCAGCTCCAAAGCACGCATCTGCTCACGGAGCAGGGGCTTTTCCAGCACATCCCAACAAATGTCAAGGAATTTCTCCAAAGCAGCCTCAGGCCTAAAGCCACCGTTCCCTACGTTCCACAGTTCCGGGTGGCCACAGCCAAAGGGCAGGAGGCCACGGAGAAAAAGTGACATAATCACCCCAAAATTGGATATTCCTGAAGTTTTTCCAGGTGTTGATGCATTCCCCCGTTCCCCCTCTCTTGATTTGTCCAGCCACTTCTGGTTTTAGGCTTCACCTGGAGCCCCCAAGGGTGAGAGAGCTGATCCATGGCCTGGAATGTTTCTGTGGGGGAAAAGCTGGAATGTGCCATTTCCCTGGGAATGATTTGTGACATCGAGTCAGCCTGGATGTGGTTGGAAGGAATGGATCAAGCAGTGAAAGGCTCAGGGTACTGCAGGAAGAGAATCCAAATTCCTGTGTCTCCATTAGCTGGATAAAATGATGGATTTAAAGTATCCGCCTTTTATTGTGGAACACGAGATTCCAAACAGTGCAGTTTTACACTGACATCTCTTCCCAAAGATTCCATGGGAGAAAAGACAGGAATTTGATCCAAGCACCCTGCATTTTTGATTTTGGGGGATCCAACCTGTCTGTATGGCCTTGGAAAAGTCACTTTGCCTCTACAGCCCTGCCAGGAATCGGGTCTGGATTTTCTGGGAGAAGCGGGAAAACAAACCCACACCCATTTGCAAACCAAAGCTATTTTTTTAATTACTTTTTTTTAAATTTCAGAGTTCATAAATATTTTTCTACACCTGCCTTTTCAGAGAACTATTTTGAGGAGTGAAGGAGGATGAATTTATTGTGTATTCCAAAGAATAAATGTCTGACAAACTTCAGAGAGACAAAACCAAAAGGGCAAAAGTGATGTTAAAAACCAAAGCAAGGGTGGATTTAAACCCAGCTTAGCACAAAGCCCCACTGCTGGTTTGTGTTGAGCTGCTGCCCTGGCTCTTTGATGCTGGATGTGACACAGATCTGATGCCCTGGTGTCCAAAATTTTGTGTGGGGTGAGGAATTCAAACCTGGTTTGTGTTAGGAGCCAAAACTCGTCCCTGTGATTGGAGATAAACCTGCGGGCTCCTGTAGCATTCCAGGCTAAAACTGTGATGGATGCTGGGTTTGGGATTCACTTCCTGCTGTTGGGAAGGGACAGGAGAGCCCAGTTCTCTGGAGAATGGAATGATCCTTTCATGGAAGTGTCCAGAAAAACGATTTGGTTGTGTTTGAAGCTCATCTTGCTCCAGAAATACAAAGCTGATGTTGATTTTAGCCTGCCCAGTCCTTTCCCCAGGAATTCCATACAGAACTTAACCATGGGCATGACCAGCTGAGGGACCAGGGAAGGTTTTCCTGGGAAGATGGGAAAATTCAGGAATTAGGAGATGTGCAGGAGGTCTCTCCTCAATGGACATTGGCAGATTCCCAGGTTTCACCTCCTTTGGGAGCCCAGCCTGTCCTCCCATGACATCCCATGGTTTTCCTAAAGGCCAGAGCAGGTGGTGCTCCTCAGGAAAACCAGTGGATCTCCTCTTCAAAAATCCTGCAGGAAATACAGCAAACCCCAGCTGCTTCAGCAAAAAGAGAAGATTTGAGGTGTGTAGAACCAAGGGATTGGATCCCTTCCTGGGCTCCTCCTGCCCACACCTGCAATCCCAGTGTTCCTGAGGCTGCTGCAAATCCAGGTCCTGACCCACAGCACGGGCCAGGCCCCAGCTCCATAAATAATTCCTGAAACTGGCATTTCCATCCTGAGGGAAGGGACATTCGATCCTGCTCCTCACCTCTCCGTGCTCCCACAGAAAGCCAAAATCTGCATATCCTGAATGCTCCATCTGCTGCCTCTGGCTCCGGTTGCGGCTCCGGCCGCTCCCTCGGGCAGCAGCTGCCTCGGGGAGGGAAAATTGGGAGCTGGGGAAAACTGGGAGCTGGGGCCAGTTATTTTCCATCATTATTTCCCCCCTCAGCTTCAGGTCAGGTTGTTTCCCTCAGCTGAGCCTTTCCCAGGCCGTGAGGGATCGCTGTGTTTGCAGCCACGGGAACAAAATCTCCGTGGTTTATTCCTGGCTGAGCTGGGGATGGGAATGTGCAGTGCCGGGGGGTTTGGGAAGGTAAGGACATTTTTGTCAGAGCCACAAGAAGCTCCAACTCATTCCAGAACTGTTCCTGCAAGGTGTCACCCCAGGGAGGGGGCTTTGTTCCAGGAGCTGTCCTGGAGAATGTCTGGAGCAGGGAATCTGCGCTCGCTGCTTCTCCCAGGCTCCGCTTCCTTGGCAGGAGAGCTGGGAGAGCCCTGCCAAGGAGCAGGGAGGGAAAGTAGGGAACAGGGTCATGCCAGGATCTGTGCTGGGGGAAAAACGGGTTTCAGGTGATGATTTTCACCCCCAGCTCTGCTCTGAGGGCTCTCCTCCACTCCTGCCTCAGTGCCTGGCAGATCCAAAGGGATTCACTTGCCCCTGGGCTGGGGAGGGGAGGAAAAACCTATGGAATTGCATTTGGGAGCATCCCAAGAGCAGCCACAGGAGTGACCCAGAAGAGTTCCTGTTTCCTTCCCAGGGAAAATGTTGCTGCTTCTCCAGAAATGTTCCTGTGGCACAAACAATGCCGAGCCAATTCCCAGGGAAGACGGGAATTTTGCAGAGAAATGGGATTTTTTTGGCCCTGGCCTCACACTCCCCAGGAAAGGCCTTTTCAGTTGGAGCCACACAATTTTAGGAACCATGTGCAGCTTCTCAAGTACTAATTAAGATCCTGCAGATTCATTTTGAAGAGAATTCAGGACTGCAGATCTTTTATGTAAGAAAATGAATCAAATGTGTCGTTTTCCCTTTTCCATGTCACTTGCAGCTACAGTTAAATTCCCTCTCCCTTTTTTTAAAAAATCTGGGATTGATGTTTGAAGCAACAAAAACTTCCCATGCCAGGGATTTGGAACTTGATCATCTTTAAGGTCCCTTCCAACCCAGGGAACTATTCCACAATTCCCTGATTTAAAAGCACAGAAGGGATCAATACATCCTTCAAACCCTTATCCAGACCATGATTTTGTCGTGGATATTCCAGATTTTATGTTCCCTGTTGGAGAAAAGACAATTAAAATTCAGGTTTCTGGTGGGAATTTCTGCAAGAGGAAGAATCCCATTCCTCCAGTCTTCCCTCTGCCGGGAAAGCAATTTATCTCAAGGTTTGAATTAAATCTATTTGGGGTGTGCATCCAGGTTTTTCCAAGTAAAACAGCGGGAAATCAGACCCTGCTGTTGACAAGGCACACACAGCCCCAGCAACACCAAAAGGACCCAAAAAAACCCCTCGAATTCCTTTCAGGAAGAGCCAAACTGGGAAGCCACAGCATCCTGGTGGCTGGAAAAGCGGGCGGGTTTGGCAGGTGCCATTGCTCTCGCTAATGATCCCAAACAAAAAACCGGGAATTGTCTGTAGGGGCCTCTCATTAATTAATGACTCCTCGTCAGGAGCTGCTTGTGCCAGAGCTGTCAGCAGCAGAGCAGGGCCGGGCACTGAGAATTCTCCCCAGGAAGCTGCAGAACAGCCCTGATGGCTCCTGGAATAACGCAGGGTTCCTGCTGGGAGGGGATGAATGGGAAAACAAGGGATGGAGGAAGGGACAGCCCGGGGAGGGAGGGAGGGATGCTGATGAAAAGCCGTGGGCAGCGAGGTCCGTGGGGCTGTGAGAGATAAAGGTCACGGCAGTGCCACCTCTGCAGTTCAGAGCTAATTAAGGGCTCTCTTCTGGCCTTTTCATCACCTTTTTTACGCACAGCCTCCCTTTCCCCCCTTTTCCCATCGTCCTGGATGGGCTCTTTTGGGATGCAAATGAAGCTCGTTCCCTATCCCTGAGAATTCCTTCGAAAGCAGCCATTTATTACCTTCAGATCCAAGAGGAGAGTTAGGGACGGGTGCTGCTTTCCCAGCGAAGAAAACGATTTCCATGAGGATCCAGCACTTGGCAAAGGAGAAGGAGCAGCCTGGGGAGCCTTGGGTGGAACGAGAAGGGCTTTAATCTCCATCCAAATCCAAACCGTTGTGGGATTTTAGAATTCTGTGAGTTCTGTGAGTGGGATTTTGGAATTCCGTGAATGGATGGGATGGGAAAGCCAAGGAACAGCCTCTGTTAGATCTCCCAGATCCATCCAGGACACACAGGTGGGCAGGAGAGGCAGCTCAGGCTGCAGAGGAGCACTCAGAGCCTTGTCTCGAGCTTCCAAACATGATTAAAGATCTGGCAGGGAAAGAATTATTCAGTCTTGTGCCTGCCTAATGTCAGGAGCTCGTAAGAGACCGGCTGCTGTTTGCAGGAACAGCTTGGAATCCCTCTGCTCCGGCTGGGTGGTCAGGAAAACTCCAGCTGGGTGGCTGGGAAAACTCCAGCTGGATCGTCAGGAAAACTCTGGCTGGATCATCAGGAAAACTCCAGCTGGGTGGCTGGGAAAACTCTGGCTGGATCATCAGAATTCCGGCTGGATCATCAGAATTCCGGCTGGATCATCGGGAAAATTCCAGCTGGATCGTTGGGAGAATTCCCTCTGCATCATCAGCAGGATAACTCCAGCTGGATCATCAGCAGGATAACTCCAGCTGGATCATCAGCAGGATAACTCCAGCTGGATCATCAGCAGGATAACTCCAGCTGGAACATCATCAGGATAACTCCAGCTGGAACATCAGGATAACTCCAGCTGGAACATCAGGATAACTCCAGCTGGAACATCAAAACCCCAGCCAGGAGAGGAGTGCCTCTCCCCTCAGCACAGGGAGCAGCAGGGACAGTGATGGGCTCAGCTCCCCCTGAGCCATCCCAAACATCCCGGGAACAACTTCTGCCTGGAGCAGGGATGGTTCTTCCAATAGCTCCAGCTGAAGTGAAGGATGTTTGGTTTCTTTTTGTTTTCAGTCGACAGAATGTGCTCTGAAAGCAAAAAGATTGTTTCAGGTTGCTGCTTGTCTTGCAGCTGGGAAGATCTGGAGCAGCAGGTGGAGGTGGAGAAGGGTCTGGAGCTCCAGGAGAGGCTGAGGGAGCTGGGAAGGGGCTGGAGAATCCCTGAGGGAGCTGGGAAGGGGCTGGAGAATCCCTGAGGGAGCTGGGAAGGGGCTGGAGAATCCCTGAGGGAGCTGGGAAAGCTCAGCCTGGAGCAAAGGAGGCTCAGGGGGAATTTCTGGCTCTGCACAAGTCCCTGGCAGGAGGGGACAGCCGGGGGGATTTGGGATCTGCTCCAGAAACAGGGACAGGAGGAGGAAAGGTCTTCTGGTTACTCCAGGGAAGGTTCAGCTTGGATATTATGGAAAATTTCTTCATGGAAAAGGTTTTCCAGCACAGCTGCCCAGGGCTGTGACAAGTCCCCATCCCTGGAGGGATTTAAAATCCCTGTGGATGTGGCACTTGGGGACGTGGGGCAGTGCTGGCCTTGGCAGCGCTGGGAAACAATTGGACTTGATGGTCTCAGAGGACTTTTCCAGGATTTGATGGTTTTATAACTGTGGGAGCCTTTTTCTCTTTTTACCATCTGCTGGATGTGGAAATGGGTGTGGAAGCAGGAGCCCTGCCCTCATCCCTGTGAGGCCTCCAATCCAATTCCCTGTCTGGAGCTGGGAGAGATTGCTCTGAACCCCTCCGAGCTCTGTGGCCTGTCTGGCTGAAACAGGGAGGTTAAAACTGCACAGATGGAAATTCAGGAGATCTGAAGATTATTTCCCTGCAAGTCCTGCTTTGTGTCACCTGCCCAGACCCTTCCAGTGGTGACAGCACCCAGAAACACAAGCCAGGCTTGCCAGGCTAAAACACAGAAAGGTTTCTTGTTGGTTTAAAAATCTGCTCTTTTTTTTGTTTGTTTTGTTTTTTCTTTGTAGGCAAAAAGACAGTGGAACCTTTCCTGCCAATTCGAGATCCTTTTCCCAACTCCAGAAACACCAATCCCAGGATTAGAGGCTAAAATCTTTGTGGCCACTGCTTTGGTTTGGTTTTAGGGAAGTGATGTGAATTAACTCAGCTCTTTACAGTGAGGAAAATCCCTTCCCTGGGCACCTCCCAGACTCTCCCTGTGAGGGTGGGCAGGCCCTGGCACAGATTTCCTGTCCCTGGGAAGTGTCCAAGGCCAGGTTGGAGCAACCTGGAACAGTGGGAGGTGTCCCTGCCCATGGAGAGGGGACTGGATCATCCCTGAGGTCCCTCCCAACCCAAACCATCCCAGGATCCTATTCCATGAGGAATTCAAGCTTCAATGTCAGGACTTCTTCTATCTGTTCATGTGTTACTTGTGTTTATTTAGACAAAATTTGAGCTGCTTCCTTCACCAAATCCAGGGGCCTTCCAGCCTTGGCTGTTTTGCAGGATGAATAATCTCAGTGGCTGTTTATTCCCAGGATTCATCAACTTCCAGACACAAATCCTCCTCCACTTGGATAAACTGGGCTGGGGACAAGCTGTGGGTTCAGGGCTGGCAGCAGAGAGGAGAATATTCCCCAGCAGCTCTCAGCCCTGACCCACAGCTCCTCCTGGACCCTCCCAGGGATTGGGATGCTCCCAAAGAACTCGGTGGGATGAGTCAGCTCCGTGTCTGCCAGGCTGGTGCTGAGGGGGAGGAAGAGCAGTGAGGAGCTTGTGCTGCTCCAGGGAAGCTGCAGCACAGGAGAAAAGTGACAGAATCTGCTTCCTTTCTCAATTCCTTGCCTGGAAAATCCACCTTTTCCTGTCCTTCCTGCTAAAGCCAACACCTGATCCCTTGGTGGCACCTTTGGGGCTGCCAGGAAAGCCGAGGCAGTGGGAACATCCAGCTTTTCCACAGCAGGTACAACATAATCCAAATCCACCTTCCTGCTGGTATTTTTTCTGCTCTGTTCCATGTTTTTTTTCCAGAGCATCCAGCACTTCCCAGCTCTTTCAGGGATGATGCCCATGGTTAAGGATTCATGCCCATCCTCCCACCTAAAGCCCAGGCTACAGAGAAAATTTGGAATCTCAGCTCTCAGCCTCACATCCCAGGAAGTGCTGCAATGTTCCTTGCTGTTGTCTTTAACCAAAATATTTGGGTTTCCAGGTTTGTTTCAGAAGGGGGAACCATCCGTGGAATGTTGTTTTGGGGCTATGACAAATCCTTCCCAATTCCCATCTCCTGCACCTGCCTGCTGCTTTGTGGATGAGAAATTCCAGCGGTTCCATTCCAGCCCTGGCGTTGCTCCAGGGAAGTGTCTGCCTTTAAAAGCTGCCCAGCATTTTCAAAGGAATAAAAAGCTGCAGTGGTTCCTGCCCTTTTCCTGGGAAGGCTGGGTTGGTCTATTTTTGGGAAGCCACGCTGTTTGTCCATTCCCATGCAGGATTTGGGAATCCACAGCAGCCTCCTCAGCCACTCCTGAGAGTGAAAAACCTCCTGCATGCCTCCCAATGGGATTTTTGGAGAGGTGGGAAGCACATCCTTCACTGCACAGCTGCTGCTCCACGCACTTCTCCCAAATAAATCCCTAATAAAGCTGCAGGAAGCAAAGGAGGGATGGAATGCCCTGCACCCATTCTCTCCTTGCTCAGCTTCTCTGTCCCTCTTGATATCAAACCCAACAATTCTTCTACTCCTGGTATGAAATGGGGAGGGGAAATTCCACTGCCTGATTCCAGCATCTGTTATATCCCATTTAATTCCTGTTTATTTGATATCCATGATCTTCTTCAGCTCCTTCAGCTGGAAGGACAGAGAAGGGAGCACAAGCACTCATTAATTCTGCCCAATTAATTCATTAATTCACGGATCTCTTACAGTATCCAGGGTAT